AATAAAAGACTATTTCTAAACATTTCATCCCAAAATGTTTTATCATTTAAGAGTCAAACGTCTATAGGTGTCCTTGCTTTCAGGTTTGAAACTTACATCAGCCACGTCAAAGTTCCCGTTGGTCCAGAGGACAATGGAGAGGATGGAGAAGACGACCTTCAGGAGGGCGAACTGGAAGGAGCCGAGTTTGAGCAGGAAGAGGGAGCGCCTGGAGAGGAAAGCACAGGAAGCACATTCATGGTGGGTTCTCGTTAAACGGAGCGCTTCGGACGAGAAACGGGCCCGGGGTCCATTGTCTCCATCTCTGGCCCCAACTGAAGGATACCATACCATACCAATTTATTTATAAAGCACTTTAAACAGTGACAAAGCACACCAAAGTGCTGTACAGGGACAAACAGAACAAGCACACAGCAACAGATTACATAACAGGACACCAAAATGTAGAAACCGACAAAAACAGTAATGGATAACAACAACAACCGCAACATGACCAACACAGTGTGATGCACACAGACTCAGCACAGATCACACAGTGCAGAAAGCCAGGGAATAAAAGTGTGTTTTTAAGCGAGATTTAAAAACTGTGAGGGAGGGGGCCTGTCTAACGAGCAGAGGTAACTCATTCCAAAGTCTTGGTCCTGCTACAGAGAAGGCCCTGTCACCTCTGCGCTTGAGACGGGTTCCTGGGACTGTGAGGAGCAACTGGTCTGCTGATCTGAGAGAACGTGGTGGGACATACGGCTGGAGCAGATCAGTAAGATAGGAGGGGGCAGAGCTGTTTAGTGATTTATAGACATACAAGAGTATTTTGAATTTGATTCGAAGGTGAACCGGAAGCCAGTGTAGGGAGGCCAAAACAGGTGTAATGTGCTCTCTTTTGCTTGTGCTGGTCAAAAACCGGGCTGCTGCATTTTGGACCAGTTGGAGTCTAGCTATGGAGGTCTGACTGATACCAAAAAGGAGTGAGTTGCAATAGTCGAGCCTGGATGTAATGAATGCATGAATTACTGTCTCCAGGTTATTTTTGGACAATATGGGCTTCAGCTTAGACAGTCGCCTCAGCTGGAAAAAGCAGGATTTAACAATCATATTTACATGATTGTTGAGTTTCAGAGAAGGGTCAAGTATCACTCCTAGATTAGTGACTCTTTGTTTCACTAACGGTGACAGAACGGATAGGTCGATGCAGTGGTTGGTGATTGTGTTCACGGCAACCCACGGGCACGTGCACGGAGCTCAGGCACGTTCGAATGCGCCTGTGGAACGGTGGAGATGCAGTTTGTTGTTTTTATAAACAGCAGCGTGCCTCGGCTTGATCCTCACCACCACCGTGCAGGATGATCGCTTGCACAAGGATCTTCTTGTTTGCACCAAGTACTCCTGTGTACTCTCCAAGTATTTTTGTAAACGGTAAATGTTCTGTACTTATACAGCTCCTTTCTATCTGATCAAGACACTCAAAGCTCTTTACAACAATCTGTGCCTCGTTCATACAGCTCTCTACTAGAGCTCTACAAAGATCAGAGCTTTATCACATTCAGACACTGAGGGACACACATCAAAGACAATGAGGGGTTCAGCGTCTTGCCCAGGGACACTTCAGCATGTGACTGCTGGTGGATTCGAACCCCCAACTCTTGCATTGGAGGACGACTGCTCTAACCTCTCAGACACAGACACTCAAGTCTGATTAACGCACATGGATAGCATCCAGGTTTTACACAGCT